ATCATTAGCCATTAGAGAAATGCAGATCAAAACTATAATGAGATATCATCTCACCCCAACAAGACTAGCATTAATCCAAAAAACACAAAATAATAAATGCTGGAGAGGTTGTGGAGAGACTGGAACACTTACACACTGTTGGTGGGACTGTAAAATGGTACAACCCCTTTGGAAATCGATTTGGTGCTTCCTTAAAAAGCTAAAGTACCATACGATCCAGCTATCCCACTCCTTGGAATATATCCTAGAGAAATAAGAGCTGTCACACGAATAGATATATTCACACCCACGTTCACTGCAGCACTGTTCACAATAGCAAAAAGATGGAAACAACCTAGATGCCTATCAGCGGACGAACAGATAAACAAATCACGGTATATCCACACAATGGAATACTATGCAACGATAAAGAATAAAGATGAAGCTGTGAAAAATAACATGGAGGAATCTGGAGGTCATTACGCTGAGTGAATTTAGTCACAGAAGGACAAATATTGTATAAGACCACTATTATGAGAACTCAAGAAAAGGTTTAAACACAGAAGAAAACATTCTTTGATGTTTACGAGGACGGGGAGGGAGGGAGAGGGTTATTTACTAACTAGATAGTAGATAAGAATTAGCTTAGGTGAAAGGAAGGACAGTACACACTACAGAGGAAGTCAGCACAACTAGACTAAACCAAAGCCAAGAAGTTTCCTGAATACAGTCAAACACTTCGAGGGATAGAGTAGCAGGGGTAGAGGTCTGGGAACCATGCTTTCAGGGGACATCTAGGCCAACTGGCATAACAAAGCTTATAAAGAAAATATTCTGCATCCTACTTTGGTGAGTGGCATCTGGGGTCTTAAAAGCTTGTAAGCGTCCATCTAAGATGCATCAATTGACCCCAACCACCTGGAGTAAAAGAGAATGAAGAACACCAAAGACACAAGGCAAGCAGTAGCCCAAGAGACAGAGAGCCACATAAACCAGAGACTTCATCAGCCTGGGACCAGAAGAACTAGATGGTGCCCAGCTAGCACCAATGACCGCCCTGACAGGGAACACAACAGAGAGCCCTGGATGGAACAGGAGAAAGGTGGGGTGCAGAACTCAAATTCTAGTAAGAAGACTAGACTTAATGGTCTGACTGAGACTGCAGGAACCCCAGAGAGCATGGCCCCTGGATTCTCTATCAGCCCAGAACTGAAACAATATCCAAGGCCAACTCTTCAGACAGGGATTAGACTGGACTGTGGGACATAAAGTGATACCCATAAGGAGTGTGCCTCTTAGCTCAAGCAGATACAAGAGACTAAACCGGCAGCTTCTGCCCGGAGGTGAGATGGGAAGGCAGAGACAGTCAGGAGTTGGTTGAATGGACACGGGGAATCGGGTGGAAAGAGGAGTGTGCTGTCACAGTATGGGGAGAGCAATTAGGGTCACATAACAACGTATGTATAAATTTTTGTACAGGAAAAAACGTAACGATCCTCTGGGAAAATTTATAACAGTTAAACTAAAAGTCTTTTTTTTGTTGTTTCTAATGGAAACCTTGGTGGCGTAGTGGTTAAGCACTACGGCTGCTAACCAAAGGGCCAGCAGTTTGAATGCACCAAATACCCCTTGGAAACTCTATGGGCCAGTTCTACTCTGTCCTATAGGGTCACTATGAGTCGGAATCGACTCAACGGCAATGGGTTAATGTCTACAGTAATTTGAAAGAAGTTTTGCCTTATGTTCGATTAAATTTAGACATAACTAACACTCTTTACTTCATAAACGAACAGGAGAAAATGTCTTTTAAAAATTCTCTCCTTGGACTCATCTATTTTTACATCAACTCATCAGAGATATGGCATTTCAAGTGTATGTCTATACCCACAAGGGTTTGATTTAATTTGTAAGTTCTTATTTATTCCTTTTCCTCAAAGGCATTCTTAAGGATAATAAGTAAGTTCTAGCATATGCTGACCTTAAAAGGTATGTTACTCACAAGAAACACACTTAAAAACACTATATAGCCACACCAAGACAGCAGAAAACCTGGTTAGCTACCATTCACCCAAATATGTGAGCACATGTTTGTACCTGCCCTTAGTAACTAGCCTGTGTATACCCTTGTATAAGAGTATTTAAAAACAACAACAAATTGTTTTGACCATTATTAATGATAAAGTATAGTATCAACAGCCTTGCATTTAAGCTTACAGACTAGAACAAGTCTTAAAAACTCTCCATTAAAATCTCACTACAATCGATTCCATGATACTATCCAAACCCTGTTGTTCAGAAAAATGCCTCTATTGAATAATTGATTTGGATTTGGAAATGTTTTATATAGAGATTTTTACTGTCATGCCATATGTTGGAATAGGGTTTGAACCGTATTATTAACAGGAACTATGACTTCATAGCAGTTTACCAAGCAAACAAGATCCATGTAGCTAAAGACAATTTACATTAATATAAACTAAAAAAGGTTGTACACTAATGCATGCTACCTACCCATGATGGCCAATTTCACCAGCAAAAGTCTACCATGAATGAAGACAGTTATCTGTTCTTATCTCTGATAAAAGGACTGCTGGCAAACATTTAGCCACATGACTTAAACTACTGTGGATTTTCAATTATGAAATACTTTTTGGTGACCATCAGATGAAAATCCCTCAATAACCAATATTTACACAAGAAAGAAGGGTACAGTTCAGTTCTGGATAGGACTGTCCTGTTCATCTCACCAGATTGATCAGCCTTCTCATCGCATGTTCATGAGAGCAAACACATTCACAAGGATCGAATCCACCTTCTGCCATGATTACCCAGCTTGATATAACTTGACTGTTTATATCTAGAAGGAAAAATATTATAAGATTACTATTCAGAGTTACTTTCTTTAGAGCTATGAATAATTCATATACTATACAGATCAATAATAGTTCTCTTAAACTACCCTGTAGTAAAGAATGTGGCTTTGCCCAAAGAGAGGTCTAGTCTTTGCCCTCAGCTTCTGGGAGATAATCTATGACCTACCTGATAAGAGTATCTTTGTTTAGAGCAGGGTTGATTATAACATTCTAGGGTGAGGCCAGTCACACCTAATAGTCATAGGGTACCACACCAGAAAAACCACCCATGTGACTTAGGGGTGGGAGCTTGGGGTCAGGTCACTTACCAATCAACCTGGAAACTGAGTTCAACCACTGAGACAACTGATCAATCATGTCTACATAATGAAGCCCCAATAAAAACTCTGGACACCAAAGCTGGTGAGATTCCCTTGTTGGCAATACTCTATGCATAGTGTCACACACTGATTCTCAGAGGGCAAAGCACCCTGAGGACAATGGAAGCTTCGTCTTTTGGAACCCTCCCAGACTCTGCTTTATGCACCAATTCCTTTAGCTGATTTTAACCTGCAATCTTTCCCTGTAATAAACTGTAACTGTGAGCATAATAGCTTTCAGTAGGTTCTGTGAATCCTTTTAGTGAATTATCCAACCTGAGGGTGGTTTTGGGAACCGTATGAACTTGCAGTTGGTGTCAGAAGTGAGGGCAGCTCTTTCGTACTGTGCCCTCAGACTTTGCAGTTTTGCTAACTCCAAGTAACAGTAACAAACCAACCCCCCTGCCGTCGATTCCAACTGATCGTGACTCTATAGGACAGAGTAGAACTGCCCTATAGAGTTTCCGAGGAGCGCCTGGTGGATCTGAACTGCCGACTTTTTGGTTAGCAGCCATTCAACACTTAACCACTACGCCACCAGACTTTCCAGTAACAATACATCTGTGAATTTATTACTATCGGCAGCCCCCAGCTTACAAACATCCAACTTACAGACAACTCGTACTGGCCTTTTAATGTTATGTAAATTTGCCCTCACTGTGAAACAACTGAACCAACCCCTACTGGCAACAAAGTCTTCATCACAATCACCTTCCCTTGTCTCATGTACAGCTTTTAAATCATTGAAAAGGCTTTGAGCCTTTTCTTGCCCTAAGACTAGATAAAAACCATATGTACCTGTTCTTACCTACGAATTCCACTTACAGGAACTAATCTCGTTTGTAACCCAGGAACTGCCTATAATCCTATATGAATTATAAATTTTTCATATGAATTATAAATCTATACAAGTGAATGGCTGCCCCTTCTGCCATTAAATTGATTTCCACCTATGTGAATGTCTTCAGGTGCTCTATGCTGGCCCCACCTCTGCAGATGCTGATGCTAGAGCCCTAACCTGCTCGATTACTTAATTTTTTAACCTCATTAACTCTAATACTCAAACTTTTAAAGCAGCTTTTATCCAAGCAAGAAAACCAGTTGAAGAAAAATGAGTATTTCAAAATGATACTAAGGTTTATCTGGAAAAATTAACATGACATTAGTGAGGAAATAGTCGGAAGGATTCTGAAAAATAAGAGTAATGAATGAGAGACCAAGATGGAGTACTAGTGACCAGATTTATCCTTCTGCCACGAAAAAACCTGGACAAAATACATGAAACAATGGTTTCCAAGATATTGGACATCAGGCAACGAAGAATGGCAATCCGAGAGATGGAAAACAAACAAGGTGGACCTATGACTAATCCAGCTTACTGCCTGGAGGGAGTTTCCAGGCCATGGGTGGGAGTGGGGGAGGCCAGAGCCTGGAGGTATCCCTGAGTTGAGGAAAAGGAGCTTGAAGGTTGATGATATTAAGTAGAGACATGAACGATATAAAACACTCCCATATCAAATTTGCAGAGATGAAAACTATGTCTGACATGAAAAATACACTAGATGGGATCAATAGCAGATTAGACACAGGTAGAAAACTACAGAACTTGAATACCTAACAACAGAAACTATCCAAAATTAAATAACACAGAAAAAAAGGTTGAAATTTAAAAAAAAAAAAAAAAAAATAGAGCATTTGTGAGCTGTGGGACAACTTCAAGTGGTCTAATATGTTTGAATTGTGTATATATTTGTCAAAACTTATCAAACTGTACACTTAAAGCTACATTAATTAAAAAATACTGATACTAAAGATGGAATAGACAGATCAATGAAACAATTTACAAATCAACCATACTTAAATGAAATTTTAGTTCATTTATTCTTTCAAAAAATACTGAGCACCTATACCAGGCATTAGGGATATAAAGGTGAACAAAACTGATACAGTCCTTAATCTAATGGTGTTCACATTCTAACGGTGGATACAGATGCTAATCTAAATATTTTTAAAATTATTACAAACTAATGAATGCTGTGAAAGATAGGTGGGTGCCTAGAGGCTCTAAACTTACCTAGGAAGTCAGGGAAGATTTTACTGAAGAAGTAACTCTGAGCTGAGAGTGAAAGGATGAACTGGAATGCACTGGAGCAAGATGGAAGTGGAAGGTAAAGGGGGGCTGTCAGAGGTTGGAGGGCGTAACAGACACAAAGGAAAAAGCAACGTAACGGCCCTGTAGTGAGTACAACATAGCACAATGGAGGAATTGAAAGAAGGTCACAATGCGCTGGAATCCAGACAGCAAGAAGAGTGGTCTGAAATGTGAACGAAGAGTCTCGGGGAGACAGGCCACACAGGATCTTACAGGCCATGTTCAACATTAGGTCTTTATGTAAACCCCATAAAGCGTTTGACACTGTTTTTAAAAACAGCCCTACTGGCGCGGTGGTTAAGCACTTGGTTGCTAACCAAAAGGTCGGCAGTTGGAACCTACCAGCTGTTCTGCATGAGAAAGACATGGCAGTCTGCTTCCATAAAGATTATAGTATTGGAAACCCTATGGGACAGTTCTACCATCCTATACGGTTGTTATGAGCCAGAATCAACTCAATGGAAATGGGTTTTGGTTTTTAAAAGATTGCCTTGGCTGCACTGTGGAAAACTGGAAAGAAGCTAGATACAGGAAGCCTAGTCAAAATGTTCCTTCAATAGGTCAGTGACAATGGTGTTAGTTTTAGAAATATATAGGTTTTGATGACAGCATATCAAATCACTGGGGGGAAGACAAATCATTCCACAAATGGCATTGGTGACAGTTGATTCCCTATTCTCATCCCTTACCCCAAAATAAATTAGATACATGAATGATTTAACTTTTTAAAATGAAGTTGCACATAAACCCATTCTACTTTCCACAAAACATATGAACATAATTCAGCCAAGTTCTTTGCCACTTTGTAACAAGGATAACCTTCCTTCCAGTGCCCAATACCACATTCACCATTTTAAGGCCTCACCAGAAATATATTTAACTTCCACATTTCTAGCAACATTCTGTTCGTGACAATAGAAGCTTTCTCTACAGCTCTCCTCACTTCTGAGCTCTCACCAAAACTGCCATTTATGTTCACAATTCTATCAACAGTCTCTTCAAGACAATCAAGGCTTTTCCTAGCTTGTGCCAAAAAATTCTTCCAGCCTCTATCCATTACTACTATCCAAAGCTACTTCCACATTCTTAAGTAGTTATTATAGCAGCACCCTACTTCCTGGTACCAAAATCTGTGTTTCCTAGGGCTGCTGTAACAAAATAACACAAAGTGGGTGGCTTTAAACAGAAATTTATTGTCTCACAGTTCTGGATGCTACCAGTGCAAATTCAGCATGTTGGCAGGGCCATGTTTTCTTTGAAGGCTCTGGGAGAAGATCCCTCCTTGCCTCTCTCAGTCTCTTGAAGCCCTAGGCATTCCTTGGTACATAGATGTATTTTCACATGGCCATTTTTCCTCTGCTGTCTGTGTCTCTTCTCCTTTTTTACATGACACCACTCAGATGGACCACCAGCAGCTCCACAGGAGGAAGATATAGCAGTTTGCTTCCATAGAGATGTACAGCCTTGGAAACCCTACAGGGTCGCTATGAGTCAGAATCGACTCGGTGGCAGTGGGTTTTTTACTCAGTTGAATAAGGACTCACCTACTCTGGTATGACCTCATTTTAACTTAAATGATAACATCTTCAAAGACCCTATTTCCAAAAAGGTCATATTCACAGGTATGAGGGTTTAGCAGTTCAGCAAATCTTTTTAGGAGACACAATTCAATCCATAAAGTCATTTATGAGAATTAAACAACTGGGTAAAGAAGAGTAATGAACATATGACTATCAGGCAAAATCCAGCAAAGAAGACTAAACATGTCCTGCTCCTGCTAGGTCTCGGAATAAAAAATTTTACGTATAAATTGAAGTATACAAAACTAATTTTCTCATAATTAACATTTACCCTAAACTATGAATAATTATCTATAATTACAACTGAATTTTAAATTGAACTGTTTTTGTGACCATGAAAACTTTATAATACTTTATAATACTTCTTGTGTATACTTAATTATTAATTAGGGTAATTAATTATAATTATCTTTTTATAATACTTTATACTTTTGTGTGAACTTAAATTTCTTCTCTAACTTTTCTGAATGGAAAAAAAAATTGCAATAAGAGAAAAAGATATGTGCTAAGTGGAAAAAAAAGCAAATTAAAGAAGACTATAAAAAATTATATGTAATTTATAATACATTATATGTATACACACACACACACACACACACACATATAAAGGCTGGAAAGAACTGTGTTATTAACCAAGAGTTTATTTATGTTTGTGAAAGACAGCATCATAGAAAAATATAGGTTGAGAGAGTAGAAAATTTATGAGAAAGCAGGGTTAGAGGACTAGTTTCAAGTGATCCTAGGAAAGTCCTTATAAAATGGTAAAAACAAAAAATTATCACGGACATTTCACTTATCATGAGTAACAATGAGAAATATACTATTAATTCCACAATTACCCAGTGTTCTCCAGAAACTTTTTTGGGATCTCTCTCCCTTTAATTCTACCAAGA